CTATATATATTCTTGATCTGGAGAATCTCCTCTATCCGCCCATACCCATTTTATCCCCGTAATTCTGGGACGGTATACTAAAGCCGACCCTAAATTTCAAAAAGGGAAAACTTTAGTTTAGCATCCCACGATTTCAGGGTTAAGAGGGGTATGGTTGGATAGCGGAGATTCTCCAGATCACGAATATATGTAATTATTGCCGCCGGAAACTTATAGTTTTCTAGATATTTGCATAATAATAATAATAAGTTGAAAATATCACAAATTTTATTTTACAATTTCTTGATTTATGATTAACTTTTCGGGTCGGCTTTAGAATAACGTCCCACGCTTTCGGGGATAAAACGGGTATGGGCGGATAGAGGAGATCCTCCAGATCAAGAATATATATAGATATAGCCGCGGGAAACTTATAGTTTTCGAGATATTTACGTTTAAAGTTGAAAATTTCAACTATTTAAAGTACGTATTTTTGCGAGTTAAAATGAATTATACACTTATATTTTTCACTTTAATATCCACTAACACTTGACTAATTCGTTTTTAGAAATTTTTTTTTATATTAGATACTGCAAAAATAGCTTTATTTCAATATTTAAATCATTCTTTAATTTTATTAATTTTGACAATAACAAAATGGTTGTGAATGTCAAAACATCAGTGTTGCCATACTAATATATTTTGCAAACGAAGAAAAATAAAATTAACAGAGAGATTGTATCCTAGATACAGGAAACAACGCAAAAAGAATTTCTGCGTAAAAAAACCTTGATACACCCCGGTGTTGGATTGGCCAGGGTTATTTTTTTGAAGCGCGGCCGAAAGCCGCCAACGCAGAAAGGAGTTCTGCGCAAAAAAACCTTGATACACCCCGGTGTTGGACCGACCAGGGTTATTTTTTTGAAGCGCGGCCGAAGGCCGCCAACGCAAAAAGGAGTTCTGCGCAAAAAAACCTTGATACACCCCGGTGTTGGACCGACCAGGGTTATTTTTTTGAAGCGCGGCCGGAGGCCGCCAACGCAAAAAGAAGTTCTACAAGAAAAAAGTAATATTGTCATAGAGGGTATAACATAATACTTAACATCAATGCTTTGTAATAGTTTATTTCTCTAGGTTTTGGATACCTGTATTTGGGGTATTATCTGTTTTAATTTCTTTCAGTTCAATTACAAAAGATGTCGATAAGGTAACACTGGTTATTTGAAATTTTGCAACCCTTTTGTTATTGTCAGAATTAATAGAATTTAACAATATTTTAATTATTGAATTAAACTATTTTTGAACTATATAATGTAAAATAAATGTGTACAAACGAATTAGTGAAGTGTTAGTGGATATAAAAGTGGAAAATATAAGTGTATAACTCATTCGAAATGGGAAAAATTTTGAACTTTAAACCCAAATATCTCGAAAACTATAAGTTTCCCGCGGCTATATCTATATATATTCTTGATCTGGAGGATCTCCTCTATCCGCCCATACCCATTTTATCCCCGAAAGCGTGGGACGTTATACTAAAGTTTTCCCAACTTTTCTTTTATTTTATGTTAATTATTTCAATATTTGCTTAAAATAAGCATTTTATTTTTGCACAATTTTGGTTATATGTACAATAACAAATGGGTTCCATGTTGTCAGATAATAAGTGTTGCCATATCCAAACGAATGACAGCAATCAAAATAAATAAAAAACCCAATTACCCTCCAAAAATATTATGAACTAAATTTTCCATTTTAATAAAAGAAAAAGGTTTTATGGCTTAAACGTATGTTTTATTGCATCTAGTAGTCTACTCTATTCTCTGCGCGTGCGTTCGGCAACAAACGGATTGTCTGGATCGCTATGATTAACGCGTGCTCATACCCGTGACTGGACAGGCAGTCGTACGCCTTCCAACAATCAGTACATATGATGCTACTTGTGCAACGTGTCTCTGAATTAAGGGTATGAGCACATCAGCAGACCTCAAATTTTCGGGACACACTTCCAGCCGAAGGTCGTCACTCCCATCCTCTACCATCCCCAGAACCCAGTGGTCTTCCACTCTCCGTTCTAAAAAAGAAAAATGAAATAATTAAGTATGAAAAATAAATAATAATGTATTTATTATTACCTTTGTTATATTTTCGTTTCCCGAATTTGCTCTCGTCTATTTGAACAATTTTACCAGGCCGCCAATTTTACCTACCGCTACCTGGTGATCAACCTGGTATAAAACTAACGCTTCGCGGAAGTAATTGTACCAGTCACATATGGTAGCGCTGGATAAAATTGGCTCCTTAATGAAACTGTTCTTTCGAACCGGCGAATGTGCCCAGTGCGATGCAAATACATACATTATATAAAAAATTTGAGGCAGTGGTATTTTTGCGTTTTCAAACCAATGTCCCACTCGACCTCGACACCGCAGTCCGTTTACGGCAGGCACCTTTCCGGCATCGGAATATGCCAACCGTGCTCCTATCAGATAAGGATACCAACATGGGTATCCTATGCATACGGCATAATTTGCTTTTTAAATTAAGCCCTCCTCCTATGCAAACGATATACATTTCTCACTAGTGTAGAAATTTTGGATTATTTTAGGGAAATTCCACATTTCCTTGATTTCAACATTCCAACATGGGTATCCTATGCATACGGCATAATTTGCTTTTTAAAATTAAACCTCCTCCTCTGCAAACGATATACATTTCTCACTAGTGTGGAAATTTTGGATTATTTTAGGGAAATTCCACATTTCCTTGATTTCGGACACTGTGAGAACATTGGTTTTTTTTACCACACCACGGTTGACGGTTCGTTACAATCTATTTAAAAGTCTTAAGTAATATTTGTTATAATTTTAAATTTCTAATAACATACCTGATGTATTTCCACTCATTTTTTCAAAAGTTATCACAATTTAGATAAATGTGTAAAAAACATAAAAACTTGCGGAATGACTTGTATGCACAATATTCACCAATTCAATTTGAATATGAAAATAATGACAAAACGGACAAAAAAAGGAACCGGTACCTTGTTTAGTTGTAGAAAATTCCGTTATAGAAATTGAAGTTTAAAGAGAGTTATATACCCTCCTTAACATAAATTTTTTTTGTTTAGATTTTTTGTTTCCACTGGCAGCCTTCGGCAGCGCTTCAAAAAAATAACCCTGGTCGGTCCAACACCGGTGTGTTCACAATTCAATCGCGTCGAACCTTCTTCCGCACTGGCTGCCTTCGGTTGTAGAAAATTCCGTTATAGAAATTGAAGTTTAAAGAGAATTATATACCCTCTTTAACATTAATTATTTTTGTTTAGATTTCCTGTTTCCACTGGCGGCCTTTGGCCGCGCTTCAAAAAAATAACCCTGGTCGGTCCAACACCGGTGTGTTCACAATTCAATCGTGTCGAACCTTCTTCCGCACTGGCTGCCTTCGGTTGTAGAAAATTCCGTTATAGAAATTGAAGTTTAAAGAGAATTATATACCCTCTTTAACATTAATTATTTTTGTTTATATTTCCTATTTCCACTGGCGGCCTTTGGCCGCGCTTCAAAAAAATAACCCTGCTCGGTCCAACACCGGGGTGTTCATAATTTCATCGCGTCAAACTTCTATCCACACTGGCGGCCTTCGGTTGTAGAAAATTCCGTTATAGAAATTGAAGTTTAAAGAGAATTATATACCCTCTTTAACATTAATTATTTTTGTTTAGATTTCCTGTTTCCAGAGAAAGAGAAGGAAACGAAAATAATTATAATTTATTTATATTAGTCATTTTAATTCGTTTGCAAAATATAAATATAAGTATATATATAAAATAGATAAGGCAACACTTATTATTTGTCAAGTAGTACGCGAAAGGAATAAGTGCCACCCCGGTGTTGAATCGGCCAGGGTAATTTTTTGAAACGCGACCGGAGGCCCATAATTCATAAAGAAGTAATACACGAAAGGAATCAGGACCAACCCGGTATTGGTTCGGCCAGGGTTATTGTTGTGAACCGTGGACGAAGGCCGCCAATGCAGAAAGGAAATATAACAAAAAGAAAACCCATACGCAACGAATAGAGTCTACTTATAAACCCTAAAACCTTTTTCTTTATTAAAATGGAAAATTTGGTTCATAATATTATGTAAAGGGTATTTGGGTTTTTTTTAATTTTGATGCTTTCATTCGTTTGGATATGGCAACATATAGTTTCAATTGCCGTGACTTACTGGGATATACATTATTTTCTGATGTCTACACAAGTACTATAATTAGCTTCTTTCACTGCGTTGTCATGGGGACTTTTTTGACCCTCATAATCAGTGTCGCTCTGTGTGTTCACACGTTCAAAAAGAGTCGAGCAACTCAAATCGGGTTTTATTGTCATTTCTTTTCATACCGTTTTGGCAAATGTTTGTGCGGTTCGGATACGTTTATAACAAGAATTTCTTAACCTTTCGGTTAGTATTAAAGATCCCATAATTTTTGTACCCCATATTTTTTTCTATTTATTATAAAACATATATGAATTAATTACAATTCTTGTTTAATTAAAATGATATTCGGTCTTAATCTTTTGTAGTAAGAAGAAAAATATACGTAAGCATCTTAACATTTTATGTATATATAGAAGAGTAAAGTCACAATGTCTATTAGAATTCAATTAAGTATGCTCGTATAAGATTACATTTAGTGCCGCAATAGTTTTAAAAAATTTAAATTAAATATTTTGAGAATCTTAATTTTCTCCTTATTAACAATTTTTGAAAATATTTGTAATATTCTATGCATACATATTTGCATAATACATACAAACAATAACAGTATATAGAAGTCTGAAAGAATTTGAAAATGAATGCTGAATTGCGTAGCAGCGAACTGTTACAAACAAGAACATGAAGCATGCTGCCTGATCACGACCGGATCGGTCTGTCTGTCTTTTCTCCTTGTCCCCTCGCTATAATAAAGGGTTTAGGTTACAAAAGAGTCTGTGTGTGAACTTGAACAAAATGTGAATTTATCGAAACATTTTAAAAATCGCTCCACATTATCTACTAAGCAGGGTTCTGATTTCCGCTTCTATTTCTTTCTTTCTTTTACGAAATTCGTCGAGAGTAAGTCGACATGAGGTATGTGTCACATTTTTCATGTTATTATACCCAATGAATGTTTCTAATTTAAAACTATTCATCATAATTTCGATTTTTCAGTTCACTTAAGTTGCAAAAGAGGCTTGCGGCCTCTGTTATGCGATGTGGCAAAAAAAAGGTTTGGCTGGACCCTAATGAAATCAACGAAATTGCTAACACTAATTCCCGTAGGTATAGATTAAAATTAAATAAAAAATTTAATAAATATATGGTATTATAATTTAGGTCAAAATATCCGTAAACTCATTAAGGATGGTTTGATTATCAAAAAACCCGTTGTGGTCCATTCGCGATACCGCGTACGCAAGAACACAGAAGCTCGTCGTAAAGGCAGACATTGCGGGTTCGGTAAACGTAAAGGTACTGCAAATGCTCGAATGCCTACAAAGTTTTTGTGGATGCAGCGTCAACGAGTATTAAGACGTTTACTAAAGAAATATAGAGACAACAAGAAAATAGATCGTCATCTGTATCATGATTTGTATATGAAGTGCAAGGGTAATGTGTTCAAAAACAAACGTGTGTTGATGGAGTACATCCACAAGAAGAAGGCTGAGAAACAACGTAGTAAAATGCTTGCGGATCAAGCCGAGGCTAGAAGGCATAAAGTACGTGAAGCAAGAAAACGCCGTGAAGAAAGAATTGCAGCCAAAAAACAGGAACTTTCTAAATTGCACGCTAAGGAAGACGAAGTAGCTGCACAAACTGCAACAACTGGCCCAAAAAAATAAATATATATGCTGAAACAGTGTATATTAAAATATTTCAATTAAATAATTTGGTTGTTTGTAATTTGTTTTCGTAACAAATACGGCATTTGTCGCAATATAAGTTTTTGAATTGCCTATAAGTAGAAAATTTAGAATTTCATCGATATATTCAATTCTCATAAAATTCTTCATGAAATTTGTAGAAAATTGAGATTTATTTGAAGCAAAACTGCTAACTTTCGAAGGGCAGTAAGGAATGCATTAGTCGATACTGAACATGGGTTGAGAAAAGGTTCATACATTTCTAGGTTAACTTTTACAAATACTATAGAATTGGCGGCATTGCTCAAACTTTGTACGTAGGTTCTGATATTACTATATTTTGTGCGTTAAATGACTATTTTCAAGTTAATCAGGGGTGTTGTAGAATCTGATAGTTGTCGGAATCAAAATTGAAACCGATAAAAAAATTTAGTAGGTGTCATGAATTCAGATATTGGTTTGACGTTCGAAACAGAATTTGTATCGGTTTTGGGTGTCACGGAAACCAATTTTATCGTTTTTGTTATCAGAAACAAAGCAAAAGGATTTTTGCTGACAGATTTGAAATGTAAGTTAAGAAAATAATTATATTATTATTAAAATTTAATTAATCGTTAAAATATTCCTTTTATTTTTTTCGTTGCTTTATTTTCTTCAAATAAAATAAAAGCTAAAATAGCGGAACTCATTGTAAACTTTAGTAGACTTAATTCAGCATTTCAAATGTATAAAACGCTTCCTAATTTATTCATTTAAAAATTTTGTCACATTAGTAGACAGCTGATTCGAATATTGGTTTTGCATATGTTCGAAAAGACGCAAGTCCAATCAAAATCTTCTGGTTTGCAATTCTGACAACTACGCAAATCTGTCTTGAATTCCACAACACCCCTGAATATTGGTAATTTTAAACACTTTTCCAATACTTATAATTAATGACGATAAAGACGAAGATACTAAATTGATTGGGATGACGACACAAGTGGAATTCCGGATGTCTATTAGTTCGTACAAACGGTAACTTAAGTCAAAATTTAGATTAAACAAAAAATAGGCGTGGCATCGCCCCCTAATAAGCATGGGTGCGTTCGAGTTACATAGTAATTGCAGCAGTACAGCTACTGTGTTGCATATTTGCTGATGTGTAGACAAAAATTTAGTGTTGCCGATTATTTGCATAAATTGCGTGCAAAAAGTGACAGTAAAACGTGATACTGTTGCAAGTGTTACCAAAATTCAAGCAGAACGTGGTACTTTGACAAATTTGCAACACTGCTGTTGTGATTGCCATATCGAACGCACCCAAAATTAAAAGGAAGATATTAAAAGATCACAGTAATCCACTTGATGCACCTTGACATGAAAATTATAATTTTTTTTTAAATCGTTTTATTTTGACGCGAAGATTACAAATCCGTGAGCGGGAAGTGAATTTTTTGCGAATATCACCAAAAGTACCGCATTCAGGTGAGTCCCAACGGGCTTGGACCGGGGTGTTCGCAAAAAGAAAAGGAAGAGGGGAGCATATTACCCCTTATACCACCAGTTGTCTGTCCCGGTGGACCCGACGACCCTCAAAGGAAAGGTATGAGTAGTGCCAGCCAAAAATTGTACCTGTGGCACCTTTAGGAGGAAAAACTCCTGAGGTAGCCGAAAACCTCGCACGAAACAGGGTCAGAGGCAACTGCGCCTCTCCTGCATCTAAGGGGCGTAAAATTCGCAATACCGCGTCCGTTGTCAAATAGAATAGCGGGACTCGCAGCCGTTGTCCGATTAATGAATCCCCGTCCTCGGCCTGGTGAGTGATCGACAGCAAAGTCGAGGACTTCGCATGGGGGCTGAACCTCTGTGTGTCGCGCAGGGGGGACTGCTACCCTCCACGCAAGAGCTTTGGGAGGTGCTAATGGACGTGGTGGATGGCAACGCGGAGGGCGGCGAGGATTAGGACCAGTTCCTTAATGAACCGATGCTATAGTGGTCGCCAATATGGAAGTTGCCCAGGTGAACCTGTACCACGCGGAATCTGCCTCGGCTGTTATCGCGAGCAGGTTCATATCGGATAACCTGGGCATCTTGCTAATTCAGGAACGCGCGGAAGGAATCAACCGATTAAGTTGAGTGGTCCTGATGGAGGACTGAATCTCTTTATTTCAATTTGCTCTTATTTATAAATTTTTCTTATATGCTTAAGTCTTACAATAAGTGTCAATTTACAATATTCGCTTATTCAGCAAATAGTTTTATTGTTTACATTGTATGGGTGGTCTGCGAATGGCAGGCACCTTGCCGTGGTGCAGGGGCTTAAGTCGCAGGCATTCTCGGCATCTCCCAACTGGTGCGAGCGGTGCTTGCACCCTCACACTGGTTGTCAGAGGCCGTATGCGTGCGACAACCAAGAGCTGCCACCTCCTAATCCAGGGTGTTATGCGACTCCCGTGCCCATTGGATGATTTGCAGCCAGGAGGTAAATTCGGCTGTATTCAAACGGAGCCTTCCCAACACCGGGCCGCATTGGGAAGTAACGGTGGCCTTACCGCGTCAAGGGGCTCTGGCGCGGCGGACTATTTGTTCCCCTTTCCAATAGCTGACCCGACGTCGCGTCTCGTCGAGCCAAGGGTCGTACGAACAAGATGAACAACAAAAACTATAACAAAACCACAACAACAACAAAAGGATCTCGGCAACAACAACAGCAAACGACGATGGACATTGGTAACGACAAGGGCAGTGGTGCAGGTAAGGGCGAATCAGGGGCTAAACGCAAGTTCAGCTTCCTGGACGCCCTTTCGCCAGAGGAGCGAGCGCTGTTCGAGGAGCATGCCAGGGACGACGACGATGACATGCCCTCGTGCAGCGGCGTTCAGCAGGCGATTTCGACTGCGGCCCCTGCGGTAAAAGAAAAAGAGAACCCCACGGAGACTCTCTCGAGCAGGAGCAACTGCTCGGATGCAGAGGAGTCGCAACGGGCGACCTCCGGTGGGGCTCAAAAACGAAAAAGGAAGAGGGGAGGCAGACTACCCCCCCTGCCACCAACGGGATGTCCGGGAGGACAGGACGATCCCAGAAGAAAAGGTATGAGCGGTGCCAGCCTGAAGTGGTACCTGAGGCACCTCCAGGAGGGAAGAACTCCGGAGGTAGCAGAAAGCCTAGCGCGGAACAGGGTGAGAGGTGACAGCACTTCCCCGGCTTCCGAAAAACAAAAGGGTGGTAATACCGCGGCCACTAGGAAGCGCAATGGCAACAATCGAGGCCACTGCCCAGTAAACGCAACTCAGCCCGCAGGCCGAGGTTGCGAAAGGGCAGCTCCCTCGACCACCCAAGCGGCTAAGCGTAAAAGCGGACAGCTGACGCCACAGGAGCCGAACAACACCAAGCGGCAGAGGGGCAACAACGCACAGGCGACTAGTGGCGATGCGGGAAAGGAAATGCAGGTGGATGAGGTTGCGACTCAACCCTGCGCAAGTACGTCAAAGCAGGCGGCAACTGCTGAGACAATGGCGAAGGTCCCTTCCGACAAAGCCACTCCCAGAGCAGTCGGCAACCTGGATATTGTATTGCAGGAGGAATAAGCTGCCCCTCATCATGGGCGCGCGCGAATGCCCACCACACCGAATGGGCAGCACAGACTGCAACACACGGGTGAGTCTCTTATCGAGTTTATAGTCAGTAAGAATTTAAGTATAGCAAAACGTGGGGTGCGACCCACCTTTGTAACTAGTGTCAGAAGGGAGGTGCTTGAACATCACGCTCAGTAACGAGTCTGAGGTAGGGTGATCTCACAATGGAGGGTATCATCGGAACCCTCCATGTCGGATCACCGATCATAAAGATTCGTGCTGGGGATGGGGGTCAAGCAACTCCTCCCAAACGATCCCTGGGAACACGGACTGGGGCCGTTTTAGGGAATCGCTTGGAACAAAATTAGCAGTAGGGAGCAGCTGGATAGAAGGCAACGGCTTCTGGATTGGAGAGCAGACGTCTGCCCTAAACCAATCCATTATAGAAGCTTATCATAGCAGCTGCCCCCTAAAGCAACCGCCAAGGGGGGTAAATTGCTCCTGGTGGTCTAGTAACTCTCAGTACTAAGAAAAACGGTGCGCAAAGCTATTCAATAAGGCTAAGCGCACCGGAAACTGGGAGGATTACAAGATGCAGCCTAACTGCTTATAATAAGGAGATTAGGACCGCGAAACGGAAGAGCCTTAGGAAGTACTGTGAGAGCGTCTCCTCAACGCCAGAGGCAGCTAGACTGCATAAGGCCTCGGCTAGAGGCAAGACGGACACAGCACTAGCGATTATAAACGATCTGATGGGAATCATACGTCCAGCGCAGAAGAAAGAGCTACGGCTCTTCTACTAGCGCATTTCCCGGAGACGATTCAAGAAGACCAAGATTCGACACCTATGGTCGAACGAAGGCCGTCACGCTTGGACTGGACAGTCGCAAACCAGCTCTTCCACTGCAGACTCCATCAAGTGGGCGCTGGCCTCCTTTGAAAATATAAGTCACCGGGTGCGGATGGTATCCTTCAGCTTTTCTGCAACAGGGGAGCAGGTGCTACTGCCCCACCTTGTTCGGCTGATGAGGGATAGCCTAGCGCTGGCGTATATCCAGAACCATGGCGCACCGCAAAGGTGATCTTCATACCCAAAGTAGGGGGAAAGACTACTCATTGGCGAAATCGTTCAGGCCAATCAGTCTTACTTCCTCCCCTACTCAAAGTATGGAAAAGATCATAGACCACGAACTACGATCGAAGGTGCTGAAGGCTTCACCGCTTCATGAGAAGCAACATGCTTACACAGAGCAGGCAGGTCCACAAACACTGCTCTGTACCAGCTAACCTCAGAGATCCAGAATTTCGTTAGATGGGGGCGAGGTGATGTTATGCGCCTTCCTCGACATAGAAAGGTGCCTTTGACAACACGTCTCACGAGAGCGTGTCAAGAAGCACTGGAGAAAAGGACGTGTCAGCACCAGTGCGCAGATGGATGACAGCCGTACTGCGCACTAGGGTGGCGGAAACCGCAGTAGAAGAAACTAAAATTCGTCTGGGAACAACAAGAGCCTGCC